ATTTGTATTATTTAAAGAAGCTGATTTCTTTAATTGATATATGTGTCTATGTGTACAATGTTGTAGTCTAAGTGATTTTTTTAGGTGCTATTAAACGCAAATTAAATAGTTATTATTATTTTTTCATTTAGGTCTATGGTGTTAATACTCTGTTGCCTTCTAGTGGTATGGTGGTGCGCTGCATAACGTTTATGAAAGATGTTTTATATCTTTCTGTGAATGTTCTAACTATAATTATATTTCTAAGAGTTTTTTTTTGTTTTTTTTTGTGATAGTGGTGATAGATATAGATATGAGTATATGACTGCTATTGTGGGGCTATTCTAACAAAAGAAAAAATTGTGCGGGTATTCTAATTCTTCCATGGTGGTGATTTTATTTTTAAACATGTTCACATTTTTTACTCGTTCTTCTATTCTTACTTGTTCTTCTATTTTTTACTTGTGCTTTTACTTTTATGTTGTTATTACATATGCTTACTTCTATTCTTCAACTTGTAGGTGTTCAAGACCAATAGTCACTACTCACTCCATGGTCTTCGGTGACACAATCACACAACTACTGGCGTTTATATAAATTTATTTATTGAATGTTATTATTATATGAGTATGTTACAGTGATACAAGAGTATGTAATGTGTATTTAGGCCTGGACTCGGGCCGGGCGGCCCGACCCGGAACCGGCCCGGCCCGGCCACTGTAGCAACCGGCCCGGCCCGGTGGCCCGGTCCACCGGCGGTTCGGGTCGAACCGGCCCGGTGGTTCCCGGTTCCGGGCCCGGGCCTTCCATATGGTGAACCGGCCCGGCCGGTTCGGGCCCGGTCCGGGCCGGAAATAATTTTTTTTTTTTTATTTTTTTTTGAAAATTTTTTATGTTTTGGGTTAGATTAGGTATTTTGGTCCATTTGAGGTGGGTTGGGGTGGTTTGGGGTTGAGAAAGAGGGGTAGGGGATTAAATAAAGAAGCCAAAAAAAAAAAAAAGGGGCGGGTGGCCCGGCCCGGTCTGGCCCGGAACCGGCCACCCTTGGTTCGGGCTCGGGCCTCAATATTCTGAACCGAGGCCCGGCCGGGCCCAGGCCTGAGGCCCGAACCGGCCCGGTTCAGTCCACCCCTATGTGTATTGAATATTGTTGATATGATACTATGTGAGAATGTTGTATATCTTCCAAGTAAGATTAATACTATATGATGTTGTCACGATTCTTTAAATAATATCATTTCTGTTTATATTTAAATTCATTGCAGTATGAAAACAAATATATGAAAAAGACATTTTAAAAACCGTGTAAAAATAATTGTGCAGCGCTTTGCCAAAAAAAATTATATTCAATGACGGTTCATTTGTCACCCATATTGAAGCTTCAGTTCATGTGGGTACCATTCAATAACGGTTTGCACCAGAACCGATATGAAAAACCTTTGATAACGGTTCCTGTAACCCATGTGAAAGGCGAACTACTTTTAATGTCTCTTGATACTATGTCGGTCAAAACCGACATTAAATGTCAATTTTAACCGACATAGAAAGCAAATTTTCCACTAGTGAATTATTAATAATATATTGATACTTTGCCTTAAAGTGTCTAATGACAAAACCTCAAGGGAGGTATATGAAAATAACCCTTATCATAAATTTAAATACTTACATCTTACTCTCTCCGTCCCTTGTAACTTTGTTATATTTCTTTTTTGGTTGTTTATACAATTTTGTCACATTCCTTTTTAGTCAATGAATTTGTGACTCATATTATTTCTTACTCCTTAGCACAAATCTCAATCACACAATTTTTAGTTTATTATTCTCCGTGTTAGTCAAATTTTATAAAGTTTTGAGCGACAAATGGAGTATTAAATTTCTCTTATCGATTCCAATTTTCAACCACATAATTTTCACTAAATTATTCCATGTGCTGATAAAGCTAAGCTAATCTACCATGAGTAAGGAACAAATCAGAGATGACTCATTGCTAAATATTACTCGAAAAGTCTCATATACAATCATGATGAAATGCTTCATTCTTTCTTTTTAGCTACAACATTCTCATTTTAATGCTTACTAACACACAACTTTTATCATCATTATATTTAACTCTCTTTTAGTAAGAAAAAATTTAAACAGAAATTATGAAAATTTGTAATGAGACGAATTCAATAATATTTTTTTCAAAAAAAATATTCATACATTAATAAATAAAATGTAGTCAAAAGAAGAGCATGTGAATAGTGCAAAAATTTTCATATTGCAACTAACAAGAAACAGAGGTGAGAGGACGCTACTACACAGCAGAATACTTTTTGGTAAATTAACTAAATTTTTATGTGTTTTGAAATTTCAATATAAGAGTAGCACAATACGGAGCATTAGGGTTTTTGTTTTTTGATTGATACTTTTTACTTTGTATCTTTCCTTTTGGGTTTGTACACTAAAATTGTTACATATTAAATTTGGTAAACTTTGTGTTTCTATAAATCATTTATCAATTCAATATCAATCATACAAAAAATCTCTATGATATTAATGTTTGACATTGACATTTTTTTGAAGTTCACTAAGCTATTTTGTATTTTGCGAATTGATGTGCGCAGTATGTGATTAACTGATTACTACTGCGTACTTTCAAAGTTTATAAACTTTGAGTTATGACACATTAACCCGGCCATTGACATTTGACATTGTTCTTTGTTGATACGAGATCATCCTCTCTGAACAAGTTACTTGATCTTGGAAACCTAAGTTTATATCTGATCTGTACTTGCAACTTACTCCGTATGTCACAAAGAAATATTACCTCCATAACAAAATAATTTTCCAATTTCTAAATATTCTCATCATAACATCAATAATTTTGAAAATAATACACTATACAACTACTTTTTTTTATTTATTTATCCTTCAATCCGTCCTACTATTTCATTATTTTCCCCCTTTCATACCCACAATAATTTTTTTAACAATCCTCAATAATTAATATCCCTCTTCACTATTCACTATTCATAATCTCATCCACTTTCAAAGTGGTAACCACCTCAGGTTATGTCATAATTATTATTACAGTCTTGCATTTTCAAAAACCAATTAGTTACCCCCGAGTTTTGATCATTCTCACTATAGGTCCCCTCGCGTTAATATTTTTTAAATTTAATTTAATTTAACTCCTAAATTCAATGAAAATTGTTTATAAAATTAATTTTCAAAGTAATATAATTTATTATCATAAATAGAAGCCATCGTTTTTATCATTATTTTTCTACATATTTAATCAATCGTAGAATAGCTATTAATGAGATAAGTTAAGGAGAAGACTCATGAATAATATTCATGGGATACATCAAAGAATATTATTTAAAAAATGTGTAGCAAAGAATAAATACTAAGAAAAAATTAATTCTATCATTCTTTGACCTAAAAGATAGGTCTAGACTGTCTAGTATGAATAAGAGACTTAAAAGATAGAATGTGTTGATATAGGACCTGAATAATTCAAAGCTATCAATATAAGACTTAATATCGTAGATTTTGATTTATTTAATTCATTTATCAACTCTGTTACTAATTTGTGAAGATTTTATCTTCACAAATGTTTTTTTACAGTAAAAAGTTTATTAGTTTTATAAGATTAAATGATATTTAGTGTTTTAAAATAAAAATACTAAAATTCATCTAACTACTCTAAATAATATTTAGTAAATTTTCATCTAACTACTCTAAATAATATTTATTCCACGATAAAGTAGCTAAGTAGAAAAATAATGATCAACAAAAATAACTTATAAATATTATAATAATTTGCTTTTTACTTTAAAAATTAATTTTATACAATTTTCATTTAATTTAAGAGCTATACAAAATTTTATTTAACAAATATTAATGTGAAGAGCAAATAATAATAGTTACCAGCTATGTAGCACCGATACCGGTACGCGGAAACGCGGAAACGCGGAAACGGGTACGGGGATACGTCAAAACAAAAAAAAGTAGGATACGGATACGGGGCCATATTTATAAATATTAAAAGTTATGGGGGTGTATTTACAAATATTAAAAGTTATAGGGGTCTATTTATAGATATTAAAAATAGATTTTTTTTAATATATATATATATAGGGGAAAGATCAAGTACAAAGTGTGCTTATTGTGCAAATATTTGTACGATGCACCTTGACGTTATTTGCATTGCATATTGAGGTTCAAAGTATTGCACATTATAAAGTCATAAAAATAGCAGTTGCACATTAAGGTGCAACGAGTTGCACCCTAAAAAGTTGAGTTTTATTACAAAAATGACACCTTGCCTTTATGTCCTTTGGATCAACTCATCGGACGGTCAAGATGAGTTTGTACTTTGTAAATTAAGAAGGCTTTGTATTTGATCTCTATTCTATATATATATATATATATATATATATATATATATATATATATATATATATATATATATATAATATCCTATGATGTCTACCCATTCATTGCATTGAAGCATTTTCCGTTTTCAAGATACTTAGTAATAAATTCATAATATTTCTCATATACACTAGTGTATCTCGAAATATAAATGTAGTCAATAAGTCATTAATTTAACATGTGAAATAAGTCAAACAACTACAATCTTGAAATTAAAAGTGTAAGTACCCACTTCGGAGTATGAGTTAATGACTTAATTCGGATATAGCCATATAGGCCCATTATTTGATTACCAAGTAAAATGTAGTTTTAGATTTTTTTTTTTTTGGAATTTTATTAAGTAAATTTTGGGATTTTAAAAAAAAAATGGTTGATACGGGTATCCGTCAGGATACGAGTATCGGAAACTTTCAAAAAATTACAAAAAAAATGGAAACTTTTAGAAATTGCAGATACGGCCCGGGAACGTACGGTACGGGTATCCTAGAGTATCCGATACGCCGATACGCTACCCTAGGGAAGTATCCGTGCTTCATAGGTTACCAGTAATAAGTATTGCAACCTGCACGGTTGAAATTTCGAGTAGATTTAAAGAGACGAAATAATGCAAAAATCGGTGCCATTAAAACCAGAGCAGTATATATGTTGTGTCCCCAACATGGCATCTTCAAGATGGCGTCGATCACCGACGAAATAGCGTTGAAGGTACCGCACTTTTTCACTCTCTACAAAGATGGCCGTATCGACAGGCACAGGCAACCGGGCTACGCCCCGGCGTGCGACGATCCGGCCGCCGCCGTCCGGTCCAGGGACATCGTCATCAATCCGGAAACCGGCGTCTCCGTCCGTCTCTACCTCCCCAAAATCACCGATCCCGAGAAAAAGCTCCCGCTCGCAATTTACATCCACGGCGGGGCATTCGTGATGGGATCCACCGGGTGGGTCACTTATCACAACTTCATCACCTCAGTGGTCGAACAGGGGAAGGTAATTGCGGCGTCGGTGGAGTACAGATTGGCGCCGGAGCACCCTCTCCAGGCCGCCTACGACGATTCCTGGGACGCCTTTCAGTGGGCCATGTCCCACCGCAACGGAAACGGTCCAGATCCGTGGCTCAACGGCCACGCCGATTTCGGGAGCGTTTTCCTGGGCGGAGAGAGCGCCGGAGCAAACATAGCCCACGACGTCGCCCTGAGGGCGGGATCCAGCGGCGATTACAGGGATTGGGAGATTTCGGGGTTGTTTCTGATCCACCCATTTTTCGGAGGAAAGGAGGTGGACCAGCTGTATAAGTTGCTCTGCCCGGAAAGCAGCGGCGTCGACGACGATCCGCGGCTGAATCCGGCGGTGGATCCGAGGCTGGCGCAGATGGCGTGCAAGAAGGTGCTGTTTCACGTGGCGGAGAACGACTTTCTGCTGGCGAGGGCGAAGGCGTATTACGAGGCGTTGAAGAACGGCGGCGTTTGGAAGGGAGATTTGGAGATTCTGGAGGTTGAAGGGGAAGGACATGGTTTTCACTTGCTTAATCCTGCCAATCCTAAGGCTGGCATTGTTTCCAAGGATCTGGTCACTTTCTTATCCCAATTATAGGATGTAACTAATTAATTGTGCAATAATAATAATAAGGAGAAATGGAATTCAATAATCCGACCTTTACCCGGTCTTCATTAAACGGTCCGATTTATTGAAAATCCATTAAAAATCTCAGCTTTGCCTGTCATATTCCCTAATCAGTCCAGGAGACTTAAAGTAATACTTTTTAAAAGAACGGTCAATTTGAGTGGGAAATCAGAATTTACCCTTCTCAATTTTGACTTCATCTAATTAAACCTACTTTTAATCAAAGCCATGTTTGACCCAATTAAACTTAAAACAACGACCTCACTGTGTTGTTTCACAAGAGGAGTAAACGGAGCCTAGCAACAGCGAACACCTAGTTGATGCTGGAGATAGTAGACGACTTTCATCCCCGGTAATTCCATTTCCATACGACTTGCAAAGAGCTCTTCATCTATTTCATAATAAACGACAATGGTCTGCAGGTTATTCATACATGCTCTTAATTTCATTTTTAATATGCTTGTATGCGAAATTTTAATTGTATACCAAGAATGAATAACTTGCAGATGAATAACTTGCAAAGAGTTCTTGTATCCATAAGTGCTTAATTGTATGCAAGTTATTTCATCAAAACCTTCTCTTATTACCTCTATTCAATTTTTGTTATCCATCGTGTGTTTGATGAAATGCCAAAGTCAGATACCTAAGAATGGTCTTGAAGTACAATGACATTTTTGGATAAACATGCCACAACCCAATTCGTTGAACATCATTTTAGAGTCATTCATTTCTATTCCTTACTAGAAATTTGACATATGATAGTTTATATCCAAAAAAATCTTATAAAAACACTAAAAACAGTTTGCAAGTTAATTAGTTTTACATATGATTTCATTGTTATGTAGGTTACAATTGGAGGAATGGATAGCCTGACCTTAAGATTCTGGCACGGAGGTTCGTTTAGGAAGATAAACAAGAAACTTGTTTATTTGAATGGACAAAGTAATAGCTTTGAGATCGATCCTGATGAACTATGCTGGTTTTGGCTTGAGGAATTGGCAAAAAAATGTGGGACTTACAATGTCATTGATCAAATTTTCTACTTGATTCCTGGAATGACTTTGGATAAAGGACTAAGGAAGGTTTACAATGATAAAGAGGTGCTAGAGATGTCTGCAATACTAGTGCAGTCTAGGTCACTAGATATGTATGTGCTGCATGGGCTCGATGAACCGGACATGGTGGAGATGTTACCATCAAATGCTGAATATTCACAATTAAACCAAACATTTGCTACTGAGGAACATATAGATGAAGAAGCAGAAACACTCTTTGATGATGGTGGAGAAGGTGGATCAACTACTGGAGCACCCAATGCAACTCAAGGTGGTGTAAATGATGAGGTTGACCCAGTTTGTGATGAAGATGAAACACAAGGTGAAACTGAAGTAGAAGAAGAGGCTGAAGTACAAGAAGAGGCTAAAGAACAGGACGAGGGGGACTTGGTGGACTCAGAGGATGAAGACTTGAGTGTGAATGACTCAGAAGTTAGTGATGATGAGTACAAAATTGCAAAGAGTAGGGTGAAAGAATGCAAGAATAAATTTTTAGAACTTGCAAAACAGCTTCAAAAAGAAGCAGTAGAAGGTAAGCTCCAAGGGCAAAAAAAACCTCCAGCAGACATGGACTGTGAAAAAGATGGTTTTTTAAGTGAGTACGAGGACAGTGATGAGGACATTGACACTCCACCAGTTAGTGAAGAAGAAAACTTGGCTGAAAGTACGAAAACAAAGGAGAAAACTTCAGAACTTGTGACTTCTGAAACTGATTTTGCTAAGTTTAAGTGGGAGTTGGGTCAGAGATTTGCCACTAGGTCTGATTTTAAGAATGCTGTTGCCAAATACGCTATATTACAAGGTCGGAATCTGAGTATTGCTGTGAGTAACAAGAAAAGGGGCCAGAGACTGGGGGTGAAATGTGCAGAAGGGTGTCCTTTTAAGTTGTATTGCTCTTGGGAATCTAGACGAGCCACATTTGTTCTCAAGTCACTTAAAGGGAAGCACACCTGTCGTAGAAATATGAAAAAGAATAAACAACTCAAGTGTCCATGGGTGGCGAGGGAGTTTCTTGAAGTGTTTAAAGCAAGACCCCATTGGCCTGCAAAAGAGATAATGGAAACTGTGAAAAGAGCTTACAAGGTGGTAATTAGTAGGGCATTTGCATACAAAGTGAAGTTCAACTCTCATAAAATGCTTCATGGATCAATGCATGAACACTACCAAAAGTTGGGTAGGTATTTGGATGCTTTGAAGAAGTGTAGCATGGGGACTGAAATACAATTGGTGACAGATGGTAGCCAACAACTTTCCTCTCCAGTTTTTCAAAGGCTTTTCATGTGTTTTGAGGGGCTACAACGTGGATGGATTGACGGTTGCAGGAGGATCATATGCGTTGATGCTTGTTTTTTAAAAACTTTCCTTGGAGGACAACTAATATCTGCCGTGGGAAGAGATGGAAACGACCAAATGTACCCAATCGCTTGGGCAGTGGTGGAAGGTGAGAACAACAGGTCATGGGAATGGTTTTTCCAGCTTCTTCAAAAATGCTTGAACTTGGGAGAAGGCGAAGATATTTGTATCATATCTGATGAACATCAGGTACTTAAATGATCCATTGACTAGTCAAATGTGTACTCAAATGTCCTTTATGCTTATAATGTATTTCGAAAAGAATTGTATTTAGAAAAAATTAGATAAACAAGTTTCTTTGTGTGAGCCAGAACACATCAACATTGTTTGAAGGGCAAATATCCTCAAGCCAGAATTTGAGGAAGTGAGCCAGAATACTTTTTTGAAGTTTTAGAATATAATTAATTAACAAGAATCTTATTACCATTATTTGAGCCAAAATACTGGAGGATTTTTTGAAGTTTTAACCTTTATCTAATTACCATTAATTGAAGCAGGATACATGGGATGTTTTAAAGTTTTAAGTAATATCTAATTACTATTATATAAGCCAGAATACATGGCCTGTTTTAAAGGTTAAACTATTATCTAATTACCCTTGTTTGAGCTAGAATATTGGAACGTTGTTGAGATGTAACTACATGTGCTTTCTTTTGTTAGGCTATACTAAATGCAGTGTGCGCAGTTCTCCCTCAAGCTGAGCATAGGCACTGTGCGAGACATATATTTGCTCTATGGCATAAAAGGTTTAGAGGTGATGAGCTTAAACTGATGTTCTGGAAGATCGCTAAATCATACAACATGGCTGATTATAACCAAGCATTCGATGAGTTGGCTGAATTAAATAATGACACTGCCACTGCATTCAAGGGCTACAATCCTAGTTGTTTCTGTAGAGCGTTTATGAAAACTAGCTTCAAATGTGATGCCATCACGAACAACATGGCTGAAACCTTTAATGGGTACATCATAAATGCCAGGACCAAACACCTAATTTATATGTTGGAGGATATCCGGGCTGCTTTAATGCAAAGATTAGTTATAAAACGTCAAGAGATGGAGAATGCAGGTTCTAGCATTTGTCCTAGAATAGAAGCTAAACTGGAAATGGAGAAGGCAAAGGCCGCTTACTGTGATGTTCTACCATCAACTTTAGTGACATTCCAAGTGAATATGAACTTAGACAGTCTGAATGTGGATCTAGCAGCTAGGACATGTACATGTAGAAGATGGGATATGTCAGGTATACCCTGTTGTCATGCCATAGCTTGCATCTTTTTCCTTCATCATGAACCAGAGGACTACGTAGAAAGTTGTTATAAAAGGGAGGTGTATTTAAGAGCATATGCAGGGTCTATACCCCCGATTGAAGGTGAGAGGCACTGGCCTAGGATAGAGTGTCCTTTATATCCTCCTCCTATTAAAATTGGACCTGGTAGACCAAGAGTGAATAGGAAAAAAGACCCATTTGAAGATCCGAAGAAGAGCGGGAAGCTAACTAAACATGGTATGGAAATTACATGTAGCATTTGTCAAACTAAAAGTCATAACAAGCGAAGGTGTCCAAATAGAGACTCAAATGTGGTCCAAGAACCTCAAGTTAAGAAAGCTAGGGGCCGCCCAAGAAATGATGGAAAAGCTACACAACCTTCATCATCAACAACACTACCAGCTACACATCTTACTGCCACAGCACAACCCAATAGGATAGGAAAGAGGGGAAGGGTTATTAAAGGAGGTAGAGGCTGTAGAGGAGGAGGAGGAGGAGGAGGAGGAGGAGGCTCTGGAAGAGGAAAGGTGAAAGGTGGTAGAGGCATTGTGGGTGAAAGGAATCAGGTAAATGCAATTACATTTACGGGTTTTTGTAATAAGGTTACTGATGTATGACATCAATCATATCTTAGTGCAGGTTCCAGAAGGTTATGGGGTTTTTATTGGTACCGATGGGGCGACATATACTAATGTAATTTCTTTTGAACCCTCTAATATTGATTTGATTTATTTTTTTGATAAAAAAAGTTTGGAACTTAACTGGGTAGTGTCACAGTAGTAAAGATATTGCATTCTCTGACTTATCATTTCTGTGCCATCTTGGAAATTGTGTGGCTTGCTGGTTCCAGGTCAGGGAGGTCCAAGATTGGTGACTCAAAGCCAAGCCTCCATGTGTGATTCGAATATGGGAAATTTGTAGATAATGCAATGAATAGAAGATGGTCATTCAGAGATCTGAGCTATGTGGTCATTGTTAGATCTGTTTAGTGACCATTTGTTTTTGTGTTTTGGTAATATGTAGTTGAAGGGAATGACACTATATTTTGTGGTTTTGTATATGGTCAGTAGAAGCTAAGTTTAGAATGCTATGAATGATTTGTAATATGTAATTTACTAGAAACCTATTTTGAAGTGCCATGACATTATATTTTTGGGTTAATATGATATGGATTGTAATAGTTTTGTCTTGACCAGTTCTTTCATGTTCATTGAGGGGAAATGTTACATCCATTAATTGGATAAGAATGTTTATCCAAGCTTGACAGAACTGAAAGCAGAAACATTGAAACAACTTAATGGATGCACTTGAAATGGGTTCATTTAAGGGGTTAAAACAAGTGCAGAGGATTGTAGAGGACTGCATACATAATAAAAATGCATCCATTGTTCCATATTAAGATCCTCATGATGAGAGAGATCTGGAGAAAGATCCATCACTGAAAAATGAAAATTGGGACAAGTTTCTTCCCAAGTTCAAGAAGAAGAACATTAAACAAAAGAAACAGGATGGTGCTCATTTAACTAGTAATGATATTAATTAATGATGTGACTGCAATAACCGTGTGTGTCAAGAAAAAGGCAAAGGAATTTGTAATTGGTGTTAATCATTTGCTTCTTTACAGAATCGTATAGTACACAATCACAATGTGGTCATAAAAAAGACCATGTATGATATTTATCTTTTAAACAAATTCTACATAAACAAAACTTAATAGGTGCACTTCATTAAAAGTAGCAGATGCCAATAACAGTAGCACATATGGGAGATGAAGTGCTTTGAAATCTTGCATCTGCCGCCCAACAAATGAAGTGCTCTGTTTTCTTTGTGGATATTCAGTTTTAGGCATTGACAAAATAAAGAATATAAAGAAGATCCTTAAACCGCACAAATTGTAACTATACAACTCTGTTCAGCCAACATTACATATGCATCTGGACACAATCAACTCACTTGAAAGGATTCAAAACAGCAAATGAAAACAATGAACTTCTTGAACAACACTTCATTACAAATTCATCTTCAATTTTTTAACACCAATTCGAAACGACATTGCTAATAGGACATTTTGTCAAACTACCAAATTAATACTTATTTCAAGGACAACAACACACTCAACAAAATGAACAATGAAATAGCTACACAAACTAAATACTTCTTGTCACTCCTAGAAGACTTTAACATTTCATAACGCAATTGGGAAAGTTCTTTTGTTTGCTGCAATTCTTCTTTCAATTTTTTCTTTTTCGAACGCATCTTCTTTATCTTTTCTTCCAGCATCATCTTTTCCATTAATAGCCCAGTTGTTGTTGTTGTTTGGTTGTCTGATATGTTGCCATTTTCAAAACCATGTAATGAATGTGCCTGCATACTATCTTCCCACATGAAGAAATGACAATTATCATCCTGATTCAAACAAAGAACAAGGTCAGTTTGTAGTTAAAAAATCACCAAACAAACATTGGTCGTTTTTTCATCCTACTTCTTCCTCCTTTTTAATTTCATATATACGAAGTGATAATGAAAACTTACTGGCCATAAAGAGCACCCATGAAACTTCCTTCCCACATTTAGTCCATTTTTAACAACTCTCAAAACAGATTTTATATTGTGGTGACAATTAATTGTTGAATCCAAACGTCTGTTAGACGATGTCGACGAGGATCCAGAAGCATTTGGCTTCATTTTTCCTGCCAACATAAAAACCGGGAAAAAAATCAGAAGGAAATCAGTTCAGACGAAGGTGAAGGAAGATACCTACATGACATGAGAATACAGGGGGAGAGGAACATCACTCAAGCGAAGAGGGAGGAGGATCCGTCTGGGATGAAGAGGAAGATGGGTCAGGCAACGAGGATGAGGTAGATGGGTCAATTAATTAAGGTTACCGGTACTAATAAATAAAAAACGACTACATCCGGTAAATCTCAGATCGGGACTGATTAGGGAATATGATAGGCAAAGCTGGGATTTTTAATGGATTTTCAATAAATCGGACCGTTTAATGAAGACCGGGTAAAGGTCGGATTATTAAATTCCATTTCCCCTAATAATAATGGAAATGGTATCTTCTAACCTAAATTTGTGTTCATCCTACTCCCTGCTATCTATATCATCATCAATGATCGAATGATGATACCCATTTGAGTATGGGTGAAATAGGAGATCAAATATAAATTTGGAATAGAAGATTCACTTATAGAAGAAAAGAATGTCAAATATGTCTCTCTATTACTACGTATTATGTATATTACGTAGTAGTATCTCAAAGTCAATTAAGTTTTTATATTTTAACTTTCATTAATTACGTCATTCTATTATAGTACTTCCATTCTTAAATAAGTGCAACATGCCAAATTTTATACTATTCATGTGTTCTACTTTGACTGCATTTTATTTATTGATGTATTAATATATATTTTTGAAAAAAATATTACGGAGTATTAAATTTGTCTCGTTCTAAATTTTCAAAATCTGATTTTTTAAAATTTTTTACTGATAGAAAATTATATATATTAATGGTCAAAGTTGTGTCTCGGCAAATGTAAAATGTTGACGGTTGCACTTATTTAAGAACCGGAGAAGTATAAATTAAAATCAAATTTGTGGTAAATAAACTGTCTCACATTATCTGCCAACATGGTGCACACATGGTACGTCTGCATCGATGCTCACACGTGGTCTGACGTGGAGCACATGTGGTGGCTCACGTCACTTTCGCTCGCTATTCCTTTTCTTTCTTTCCTTCTTTCTATTTCCACATTCACTTTTCTTCCTTGCACAAACCTCCTCCTTCCTCCATGGCATGATCTGTCCGGCTTCTTCATGAGTCTGCTCTATTTCAAAGTTTGAAAATTCGGTCAATTGAAGAAGCCATCGTTCAATTTTCCAGGAGAGGTCTCGATGTAGTCGCCGGAGGGAGGAGGCCATGCTAGGTTGAATTCTAGAGCGTTGCCGCCACAGACGTCGGAGGAATCCCCTCTTATCGTCATTGCCGTAGTTATCGGGATATTCCTTTTCACCGCCAACCCACTCCCTACCGAACCCTTGCCAAACCATAATTTGAACTCGAAATACCACCACGGTCTTTTCCTCTCTACCGACGTGACCGTTTATCCCAATTAGTACGACCGGTGGAAGAGAGGAATGGTTATTTGCAAACGATTTCATCACAGAGGAGGAAATGGGACTGCAAATGAAAGGAGGGACAAGAGAAATAAGCAAGAAGGGGGGGGGCTTGTGACGTGGATCATTACATGTGCACCGCGCGTCCGCATCGATAGATTACTTGCCAAGAATAAAATTTGAGAAATTTACATAAGAGGATCAATGGTAATTGATGAAAGTTAAGGTTGAGAGGCTTAATTAACTTTTCGTACAGAATGTGGGTATATTTGACACTTTTCTCATTATAAAATGTTGTTCATGTTTTGGTTTTCATTGATTAGTACAAGATAAAATACATGTGTGCTGCATTGGATAAATTGTCATGAATATATAAATAATAATGTTGCAATTCTATTAAATATAGTTATATAGTATTCACAATAGTACTAATAAAGTAATAATATTCATTGTTATTGTAATTATTATTATATACTCGTGTATATATTAGAAATAATGGCCCCAATATTACACCCCATGTTTCTATTCACCAAAATATGACTCTTTTTTTAGTTTCCAAAAAACTTGCCCAATTTAAAAATGGGGTCCAATACTGTTCAAATGGCTCAATCGCGCGTTATTTCCTTCAGCTTCTGCGTGTTCCGCTCTATCATCTTGTTTGGCATTCGAACTCTCTCTCTTCTCATTTTTCTCTGAAACACACCATGGACAGTCCTAAAATCGTCCTTCTCTAGCATTCCCTCTTCGTTGAAGTCTCTCATCTCCAATCGCGATTTCAGATTTCCTCTTTCTCGAGCCAAAATCTGAAGGTATTTATCTAAAATTCGGAGTTGTGTGGTCAATTTTGTATGCATGTATAGATATAATTTTATATATATATATATATATATATATATATATATATATATATATAATCCAATCTGTAATTTGAAAGCCTTTGAAAGCCTAAAGAACTTAGTACTCAAGACCGTAGGAGAGTACGGTAATGGTAGATCCGTACTTGAAATGCTCTAATCGTGTTTTCTTCCTTTTTTGCTTTGAAGCTTCTTACACATGGCGTTTTCTTCCTTTTTGACCTTATACACACATTCAAATGCTTTTTTGACTTTTAGAAGTCAGCAGATCCGTGTATGATAAATAGGGAGTATAACTGATTAGTGCTTTTAGAAGTATGTTTGATCAGTGCACTGCTACTAAAAGTTTACTCTCCTCGATTTTTTTGCTTTTTTTTTTTTACTTTGTTTGGCTTTTACATACCATTGCTTTTATAAGTATGTGTGATTATCATCATTAAAAAAAAGAGTTTCCATGCTACATATTCTCAAATTCTCTGACTATAATAATTGTCTGTATTGTTTTTTGTTTTTAATTTGCTTTTTATTGTTAGATGTCTGACAGTGACTTCATATCTCTTGCACAAACATCATCTCGACATTCATCTAGTTGCCTATAATTGACTCATAAGTCGAAACCGGTAAGTCTTCATGTGAATATATTACATTCCCTTATTTTGTATATGAGGTTTCGTTTCTCATTCATTTTTTAATATGTCTTCTTTCCAGACCTACACGAGATTGGTCGACAAAGATGTTGTTTATCAAGACTTGAAAGTTAGAAGAGTTAATACTTACACCCATGGTTTGATTGTGACTATGTGTACTTTCCGGTTAATGTACAGTCAAAACAACAATGGATTCTGGTTGTTTTAGACATTTCTGCACACACTTTGCAAATTTATGATACAAACAATAAACATGCCGCCTTGCCTCAAACTATACGCAAAGAGATCAGAGGCCTGGTTCACTATCTCCCGCATATTATGGATTACATGAAAGCTCGTGCCAAAGGACAGTCTCAAATGTTGTTAAAGCTTTCTCTGTTAAGATGGTTGTTGGAGTCCCATAACAAGAAAATGAGTAAGTAATGTAGCCTGTTTCACTACCAACGAGTACTTTTATATACATATATACAAACTCTTCATATACAATTTAAAGATACATGATGGTGTTACTACTTTACTAAGCATTGTCTATACTTTTTTGTAGTGGAAATTCTGGT